ACCTTCAGAAGAGCCGCCAAACTTGGCTAGAACTTGCCTCCTACAAGATGTCAGAGCTGTTTATTACCATCAATCTCTGGACTTCTCCCTGATATGAATTGAGAGGCAACACAGGGTGGTGGCTAGACAGGCAACCTTGGTGTCACAAAGACTGGCTGCAGGTATTCCAAGTGACCCTGGGCACATCAGTAACCTGTAAATTGTGTCCAGTAGCTTTCTAAGGCTGTCAGTTACAACTTGGGTGCCAGTCTACATCTGTGGAGGAGATATCTACAGTGGGTGTCTTCGGTAGCATGAAATCCTGGGTCTATATCCATCCCTTCTCCATGTGTGTATGTATATATGGATGTATACTATACACATGTATACACAGATGTATACATAACACCTAAGAATTTACGCACATATAATGGAATATGCAAGGTGGAATCTTGAGCATTTTCCCAATTACAACTGCAGAATGCCAGAACTTAAAGAAGTTTAGTCCAAATCTCTCACTTTGTCAGAGGATGTTGAAGCCCAGAGAAGTGGAACAACCTGCCAAAGGTCACACAGCAAGGGGGGGGGGCCGGTCTGAGACCAGAATCCAGGTGATCTCCTCCCTCTCAGGATGCATTTCTGCCCACTGTAATAGCCTGCCCTCTTTACTTTCTACATCCCCCAGTGGACATGTATTTGTAATTGATATTCCCACATACTTTTTCATTTCAGATTCGTTGTGGCATGGACTTTGAATTTGGGTGGCTTAAAAGCACTTTGAGAGACATTTCCTGGCTAAATAACAAATGCATGTTTCAATCTCATCTCCACCTCCTAGCACCTGCTCTGGGACAATGACTCCCCTGAGAGGCCCAGAGCGCATAGCACAGCAGGAGACGCTGGGTGAACGTTTGCTGTGGGCAAGGCCTCTGCACCTGCTGAAAAGACACATACTCGTCCGAAAGCAAGTACGTTCCATAGTTCTGCCTTTGATTTAACTGCATATGTAATTTCCTCACCTCCCCCCTCCCCAGTAACAGGGGGAAAAGAGACAAGCCTTGGTTTCTATGGCAACACATCTAATTGGTGGGATGCAGGTCTCTGTCCAACCATAGGGTGGAGCCAATCTCCCTAAACATGAATCCAAACATTTGAGAAAGGAAGACTCTTTCACAGAAGCCAAGCAAGTCCCGGATTTCCAAATTCAAAGCCAGGCACAAACAGAGTCAGTGCTGTCTCGGTGGCAAGGGAGAGAAAGAGAGAGAACCTTAAGCTCTCCCCGCACAGGCAAGAATTTAATAGGGAGGATAACTGAACTCTTGCATCATGCTTATCAGTGTTTCCAAGACTAGAATAAGAACGGAGCAGGTCTATAGGCGAGACAACAGGCTGGGGAATACAATTTCTAACTGCTTAGCAAAATAACTTGCCCTCAAGTACATTAAATATCCTTCCTTAGCCCAGATACTTTCAAGACACCAATAGGAAATCTGAGAACCATTCCATTTGCATTTTTATCAGTGTTGTTGGTACACTGAAAGTCAGCCATTCCCCCATGGGACTACATTCCAACAGGAAACAAACGATCAGTGCAGAGAGTCTGGGGCTTGGGTGGGTTTTCATTTTGTTAATACATTGTGATTGTATTCTATATGTTTGTGTGTGCACACATATGTTCGAGAGAGGGAAAGGGAGGAAAGGAGGAAGGGAAAGGGAAAATGGGAGGGAGAGAGAGAGAGAGAAAGAGAGAGAGAGAGAGAGAGAGGGAGAACAGAGGGAGACAGGGAAGGAGAGGGAAGAGAAAAAAGAGGAGAGAGAGAAAGATGACTGTGTCTGTGCTTGATATAATTGTGTCAATGTCATCATGGAAGCATGAAATAGATCAAAAATGTGAAGTAAACTAAAGCTGTGCATCAGTCAGGGTTTTAATTCCCCAAGGGAGCAGATTCTGAGAAATAATCTTTCCTTTCTTTTCTTCTGCTTGTGCCCCCCACCCCCATCACATTCAAGATGTTTTTTCAATGCCAAGTCATGGGTGAACAAGAGCAGAGACCGTCTCCCCGGGCTCCGCTTGGGCACTTGCCTCTCCACCCCAAACCCCACCACCTTGCTTTCTTTCTTGGTAGCAGACTTGATGCCCACAATGCTCCCAAGGCATTAGCACTCAGGAGCTCCTAAACTAATGCGGGCGAACATTAGAGATGGCACCTCCAGTCATTAAGTCAGGGAGCCAGGCGCAGAGACGCTGGAGTGAGTTGACACTGCATATTTTAGACGATGCTGGTGTGCAGTAAGCCCTGGGTAGCAGAAAGGAAATTCAGGGTATTTGAGTAACAGGAGGCAGGGTGAGATTTGCTTAACAAAACAATTAGGAGATTGTTCTTTTGAACGCATCAGGAAGCTGTTCCATGGCTTATAGCAATGAGCTTTGGAAGCAGGGGCTCACCTTGAGAGCGGCAACTTTCCAGGGGCAGAAATCAGACCGTGTATGTGACACAAAAGAGCGTAAGTAATGACAGAATGGAAGATGAGGACTCTCACTTTCCAACGCACTGGAAAGAATTCATTCCTGTCACCTCAAATAATGGTATGGCCAAGTCCATACACACTGCAGGAGTCCTTCCTGGTTAACCCACTGCAATCTCACAGAGCCTTGCTGTTCTTATCCAGGAAACCTGTGGCTAACTAGATGTGAATGTGCAGAAAGGAACACGGAGGGAAATGCAACTCTGCCTATGTATACATACTCTATGCTCACCCCTCCCCTTGCCCTGACCAAAGTCCAGAAATAATACCCTCTCCTTTGCTTTTGCTAAATCTCAGAGGGCACTGGGCTCTCTGCAGAAGTCAATCATTTATGCCAACTCGTAGACACCTAAACTACTCCTCATTCTCACAGCTATTACCACAGCAGAGGCCTTGGCAGAGACCCGGAGTGGCAAAGGAAACAAGGATGTCTATATTCCAAACAACCGTAGTCTGGTGGAGGGAGTCAGGCTGCTGGGAGGCTGGCCGAAGGCTCCGAAATGGAGCCAAGTGGGGGAGCAGGTTCCTTCTCTGCTCACTGCAACCTCATTTCAGAGGCTGCTGAAGGATGGTGCATCTGCTCAGGCAGGGAAGATGGGAAATGGGGGTGAGGGAGGGCCAGAGCTGGCCTCTTTCAGAAAAGGGAAAAAGAGCTAGACAGAATCCATGTTTCTTCTTCCTCCAACCCAACCCCCATGGCAATTCCCCTGCCCATGCCATGCCTCAGCCTTGCTCTTCTCCCTGAAGGAGAAGGAGAGGTTTAGATGCATGTCCCAGGCAGCAGGACTGTGGTACTGACCACAGCCTCTCCCCACCCAAGAGGGAAGAGAAGTAAAGATTAACTCCTCACCCGACTTTTCTATGCTCAAGTTACCAGGTCCTTGGAAGCTAGAGGAAGCTTGTGATGCATTTTACTATCGCTGCAGCTTCCAGCTCTGTTGCTTTTCTTCCTTTGGAGGGGGAGGAGATTGGGGAAGCCCAGAAGGAGAGAACCTAAGCATACAATGTTCCATCCATGTCTCCTCAATGATGCTTACTCCATGTCTCCTACAGCTGCGTCTGCTGGCTTGCCCTCAGAAACCTCTGCTTACTCCAAATCCACGAAGCTCCAGGCAAGAATCAAAGTCGCACAGGCCAACACTGAGAGGCGACTTCTTTTCGTCTCCCCACACATCAGCCCTCAACTCCCCCAGTCAAACCAAAGCCAATAGCCTCCAATTTGGAAGCCAGAAGCCCCATCTCCCTGCACCAGACAGGACTTCTTAGGGATACGTCAGTGTGGAGATGGCGTCTTTGAGAGATGAACATTCAGAAATCAAAGGACGGGGCAGTTAGGATGGGGGGGGGGGGTTGAGCTGGAATCCCACACCAAGCAAGAAATCTATGGGAAGCTGGACGGGATGGATGGATTTCGGAGTGACCCAGCCTAGGCTACCCCAATGCTGGGCTCCTTCCCAATCAGAGATTCCGTAGTCGGAGAGCGAGTTCACATAACCCTAGTGAAAGGAAGCCATCTGTCACTCCAGCATGACTGTCTGTTCCCTTTACCTCAAATCCAGAGGAAAAGGGGAAGAGGGAAAGGCAGATAGGAAGGCTGGTCACTAAGAGAACCATCTCTAAGTGGGGTGAGTGGGTATCCATGGGCAAGGATCCTCTTTCCCGAAGTAGGCTCCGGGGGCCAGCACTAAACTCAGCAGGAGGTGAAGCTTCCCAGCCCAAAGCCGTAGTTCCCTTTCGCTAGAAAGGATGCCCCCCTCCTGCCCTAAGAGCTAGGATTAGCCAGCATAAACTGCTCCCCGTTCCGAAGCTGTTTAACACCAGGATCACTGCCATTTTGGGTCCAGTTTCCCGGTTGGGCAGAGAAGGGAAGGAGAGGAAGGAGCTGTCCTGTGGGGACATTGGGCTCCCCACTGTGCGGCTCCAGCTATTTGGGGCTAGTGGAGATGCTATTTGGGGATTGGGGTGGGGATGCCAGAACACATCTCCGCCTTTGCCCAGGGCACTGCCGGGGGACCAGGGCTTAGGGCACGGGTAGAGGATGGGGGACTGTCAGAGATGGGGGCGGGAGGGGGGGCAGCGGGTACTCACTGCAGTAGGCGATCAGCAGACTCGCCAGGATCATGAAAGCCCAAAAAGTTGAGGACATGCTCGGCAAGGCGTTGGCATCTTTCCGGCGGCTCCTCTTGGGGGATGGCGCCATTGAAGCCGCTTCTCCGGGGCACAAGGGGGTGGGGGGCGCAGCGCGTCTCACCAGCCGGCGCTCCCCGGGGCCGATCCCGATCGCCTGTCTCCACGTGTAATCCCAAAGAGCCACATCTTCACGCCTGGCCTCCCGCGGCAGAGGCGGCACGGGCACTGGCACGGGCGGTGGCACCGGCGGCGGCGGCGGCGGCAGCCCCGTCACGTCTGGAGGCGCATCGTCGCCCCCTCCGCTCCCGCCCCGCCCCCAAACTGCTGAGGCCGCTAGCTGGAAGGATCCCCAAGCTTGCCTTCGGACAAGCGGCTCTCCAGTCCCCGGTTCAGGGAGAGGAAAGGGGCCCGGAAGAAGAGGGAGGATGGCCGCGGAGCGGGGTTACCGAGCTGCGCGGGGAGGGAGGATGGGGGGTGGTGTGCAGAAGCAGCGGGCCTGGGGGCGGCGGGGGGGACCGTAGAGACTCGGCCGCCACTTGGCTATCGAGGGGCAGGAAGAGAAGTTGGCAGCTGGAGGGCGGCCCCTCACTGCGGAGGTGCCGGGGAGCTGGGGCGGGGGGCCGGAGCCCCGGGGGTCTAGCGGAGCTTCCCTGGCTGTGGCGCGGAGGAGCGGGGAGCCGGGGAGCCGAGGAGCCGAGGAGCCGAGGAGCCGAGAGCGGCGGCGGCGGCGGAGGGGCCGGGAGCAGCAGCAACACCGGGCCGAGGGGGCGGGGGCGGGCTCCGGCGCTCCTCCCTCCTCCCTGTGCCCGCCCCTCCGCGCGGCTCCGCCGGAGGAGGAGGGAGGATGCTCGGACCCGGCTCCAGATGGCCCTCCCTCCGCCTTCTTGGCCGCCGCTGGGGCCCAAGGGCTTTTCTTAGGTGGGGGGCGTCGGGTCAGTGCAGAAGAGACAGATCCTGGGGAGGCCGAAGCGCCTGCCTCCTCTCCGGCTGGGGCTCGGAGCCCCCTCCCTTGGAGGAGGAGAGGAGATGGGGATGGGGATGGGAATGAGGATGCTGGAGGAGGAGAAGGAGGAGGGACGGGGGAGGGAGGAGACCAGGCAGCGGGAGCCGAGCGTCGGCCGAGCCTGTGGATGGCGACAGAGACGGCCGCACGCACCGCAGCCAGAGGCTGGACCCAGGAGCTCGAGCCGCCCAGCCCCCTCCCTCAGGGAACATGCTACCCAAGCGGGGGGCGGGGCGCAGGAGCAGGGAGAAGCCCCAGACGTCTCTCCTCCCGCCACCACCATCTCTCCCTCCCCGCCCCGCTTCCCTAGCCACGGGGACTAGCCAGTGTCGGTGCGGGTCAAGCGGCGGGGGCTGGGAGGTGGGGAGGATGGTGTCGAGAGTTATTCCTAAACACAGTTTGGGGGGCCTCCGGCCTTGTTTTCTCGATATCTGTCCTCCTTCTCCCAGAGTGATAATAATACCCACATCCCTTCTTCTCCCTTCTATAACTATATAAAGATCGTAAAGCCTGGCTTCTCATCCCCATTTTACACAGGAGAAAATTGAGGATTAAAGCTGGCTTTGCAGCAGCAGGGCTGGGTCACTCCGATTTGCTACACAGATGGAGGCCTTTCGGCTGCAAGCCCATGGTTCTCAGCCTCTCTCTGCCCCAGCCCCAAAGTCAGCTTTCTGCTCTTCCAGGTTTTGTGTGTTTCCCGTATGTTTGCTGTTTTAAACTCCTTGGTATCTCAGATCTCATAATCTCTTGCTGTATCTTCCCCCCCATTCCCCCCACACGCACCTGCCCCTTAAGTTTCAGTAGGAGGAGGGGATAATAAATGGGGGGGGAAGTGCCATGGAAGTTTCAAGTTTAATGCCATTTAGCTACAAGGGGTTAAATGCCTGCTGAATGTAAAACCAAGTGTTGGGTAATAATAATAACAAAAATAACAGCTAATATGTATATATTCCAGGCCCTGTGCTAAGCACTTTACAATTATTATCTCATTTGGGCTTCACAGCAACCTTTGGAGGTAGGTGCTGTTATTGTCCCCATTTTACAGATGAGGAAATTGAGGCAAATAGAGGTGAAGTGACTTGCCCAGGGTCACATAGTGTCCGATTTTGGATTTCAACTCAGGTCTTCCTGACTTCAGGCCTGGTGCTCTATCCACAATGCCACCTAGGATAACATAGGAGGAAAGATGAAGCCCAGGGCCTGGCCTAGAGCCCTTAGTGTGGTGATGATAGACAAAAGATGAAAGAATGATCAATGACTCAAACAAACCAGGATCATTTACGTGACAGGCACCAGTGCTGGACTCTGAGGGCCCAAAGGCAAAAGCAGGTATAGGCCACACCCCAAAGGAGCTCCAACCCAATGGAGAGGGGAGCACAGTGCTGTGTGACTTAGGGCTGGGGTGAGGCTAAGCTCCTTACTGACATGCAGGATCAGGAGGTGACATTTGAGCCTTGGTCAGAAATTCACTAGCAGGGAAGGGCAGAGTGTGAAGTGGTGAAAAGAGGGATGAATATGGAGTTGGAGGAGCTGCCTGTGTATCGCACTGTCCGGGAGCCTTTGGACCAACCATTTCCCCATTCAGGGCCTTGGGTGGTCATCTGTCAAAGGAAGGGGCCAGCCTAAACGACCTCTGGAGACATTGAACTGGATGAAAAAAGGCATGAAGAACATGGCCAACAGACACCATAACAGCATGATGGTGGGGCACACAGAAACCCTCATGGAGAGCGATTACAGACCTTGGAATGGGAAGTGACCTTAGAGGAAACCTCATCCACCCCCTTCTGGAGCAGGAATCTCTCTTCTGCCAATCCATGAGGCCTTTGCATCAGCATCTCCAGTGAGTGATGTGGAGCTTGGTACAACGGCAGCTAGGTGGCACCATGGAGTCAGGGACATGAGTTCAAATTCAGCCTCAGACACATCTAGACAGTGGGCTAGTCACTTTGCTTCCATTTATCTCAGTTCCTTCATCTGTAAAATAAGGCTGTCAAGGATCTAATGAAACAATATTTGTAAAGGGCTTAGTATAATGCTTAGCACATAGTAGGTGCTTAAGAAATGATAGTTGTGGGGCAGCTAGATGGCACAGTGGATAGAGTGCCAGCCCTGGATTCAGGAAGACCTGAGTTCAAGTCTGGCCTCAGACATTTAGTAGCTGTGACCCTGGCAAGTCACTTAACCCCAATTGCCTTTAAAAAAAAAGAAAGAAAGAAAGAAAGAAAAAAATGATAGCTGTTACTTCATGATGCAACTTGTCCCAGTTAGGGACTGTCCTGGTGGTTACAAAGTTAGTCCCTGCATATAAACAAAATCCAATTCCTTTCTAATTAGCACTGATTTGGGTTCTAATTCTTCCCTCTGGATCCTTGTACACTGTCCACACACCCAGCCCTCTCTCACTTAAATCCAATTCACTTGCCAGTCATGGCATCACCTTCCCACTGTGGTCCTCTCTGAGAACAGAGAACAAACAACAGCATCACTCTTTCAGGTAGGCCCTGAATTCTTGACCTTCCACTGGATTCTGCTTCAGATATTTACTGTGTAAATCTGGCCAAGTGCCTGTATCTCACTGAGCTTCAATGTCCTCATCTTTAAAATGGGGGTAACAACAGCATCAGTCTCACAGAGGTGCTCTGAAGATGAAGTGAGAAAGGACATGGAAAATGCTTTGCAAGCCTCGAAGCTCTATTTAATGTGAGGCTTTATCATTGTTCTGTATTCTTTAGAGGCCTCCTTTGAATCAGTGTCCTGGGATAGTAGTTGCTTCTAAATCCACCGCCTTCCTCTCCTTCCTTCCTTCCCCCCCAATCCTCTGAGCTTCCCATGATGCCTGACTTCTGTGTTTCATAAACCCAACAGTATAATAAAATCAATTATCAATTATGATTATGTCCACATGCCTACTTTTTCATCTCTGTAAGATTTTAGTGAGAATAGTCTATACACTTAAAGAGAGTCTTTGATGGCTTTTGTGCAAGATTTGCTACAGCCTAGAGCACCTCCACAGCCGCACAATTAACTGAGAGATGTGTAACAAGCATCCTGTTGTGTAAAAGAAAATAAAACTTCTGACTTGGTGGAACAAAATGCAGTCCTTAAAGGCCTTGCTTCTGGACGATGTCTCCCATGTCTACTTTAAAACCAGGCACAATTCTGTAAAAGATGCGAGGAGGCTCTCAGCTCCTTGGCAGCAGAGGCCATTTATTTTTTCTCTTTGCAGCCTTAATACCTCGTGGAGGGCTTAGCACATTGGTTTTTTTGTTTTGTTTTGTTTTGTTTTTTACGTTAAATATTTGATTTCATTGAAAGGAAGGAAATCAACACAATCTTAGGAGGTAGGTACTGTTATTATCCCTATTTTACAGTTGAGGAAACTGAGGGAGACAGAGGTGAAGTGATTTGCCCAGGGCCACATACATAGTAGGTGTCTGAGGCTAGATTGAAACTCAGATCTTCTTCACAACGGACCCAGTGTTCTGGCCAGTGCACTGCCATCTAGTGGCCTCATTGGGATAGACAACTCCAAGTAGATCGGCACCTACACGGTGGTTCATGGCCTCTGAGAGGGGCCCAGAGAGAGGGGTTGAAGTGCTCAGCTCGCTCCCCATGGTGGCCTGCATCTGCTACTGACTCTGTTTGATGCCTGCCAGGCTGCAGGTCCACCCTCTCACCTCACCCAACATTATGAGGATGAACCATCTGAGGATGGTTCATTACATCTGAGGATGAACCATCAATACCAACCAAACGGCTGGCCCTCATGTTCTCATCTAGCCCCTCCCTCGCTGGAATTGCATTTCTTTGGCTCATTATGGGATGTTTTGCTTTCTGGTCACCCTGTCAAAGGGCAAATAGTGCTAGAAGAAATAACCTTCCTAAAATGAGTTAGCTAACTCCTTAGAAGTATACATTTCCAGTCAAGATGGTAACAGTACTGCTAATTTCCAGAGTTGTGAGGATAAAGTATTTGTAACATGTTTAACGCTGTGCCTGGCACATAGTACATGTTGAATAAATATCTGTTTCTTCCCTTCCTCCTTTACTTCCTTTCTTCCTTCCTTCCTTCCTTCCTTCCTTCCTTCCTTCCTTCCTTCCTTCCTTCCTTCCTTCCTTCTTTCCTTCCTTCCTTCCTTCCTTCCTTCCTTTCTTCCTTCCTTCCTTCCTTCCTTCCTTCCTTCCTTCCTTCCTTCCTTCCTTCCTTCCTTCCTTCCTTCCTTCCTTTCTTTCTTTCTTCTGTGTGAGTGTAAGTCATAGTAACATAGATTTACGCTGGAAGGATGTCTAGAAGTTATTAAATACAAACCATTCATTTTATAGAGATAAAGGGGTACAGAGTGGAGGAAAAACCTGTCTAAGGTCATTGTTGTTTGTCCTTCACTTTGTTTTGTTTTTAGTTTTTACTTTTAGGCAATTGGGGTTAAGTGACTTGCCCAGGGTCACACAGCTAGTAAGTGTCAAGTGTTGGTCTGAGGCCTGATTTGAACGCAAGTTCTCCTGACTTCAGGGCCAGTGCTCTATCCACTGCACCACCCAGCTGCCCCTTGTCCTTCACTTTGAAAGAAGACCAATGATATGGTGATGTCTTGACTTGGGCTTGAATTGGATTTGAGTGAGGTGGAATTGCACGAAGTCATCAGCCTTACACTCTCTTCAGGAGTCATCAAAGTTCAGCGGCAGGATAAAAGTCAGGGTGACTGGTGCTGGCCGGGGATGCAGCGGGTGGCCTTGGTATCTTATACATCTGACCAAGTTCTGAGGACCTGCTTCAGCCACCTCCACGGCCACTGGAACCCCTTCCGCCAACGAAGTCTTCTCATGCTTACATGCTTGGAGTAGACATCCCCCTCACTCATCCGATGGGTTTGAGGCCTGTCAGTTGCCCTCAACCCAGTTTAGCTGTCTGCCAAGTTGGTTTTACTGGGGTGTGGCTACTGCAAACACTACCACTTCTTGGAGTCATAGGTGAGAATTGTGGACCCCGAACCCAGAGAAGCAGCCCTGCAAAGGGATTGGCACAGCCTCACACCAGATAGTTTAGTCCTCCCTGAACATCCTTTACAGCCCAGCCTAAGGTCGGAAGGGTAGTAAATAGCAAAGCTACAATTGTGGTTGAGCCTGTGCTGTTTATCATTTCTACCAGTGATTTAAATAAATACATTGATGCTATTGTCATCAGACTTGTAGGTGACACCAAATTGGTAGG